TCACTCAATTTTATATTTTACAGGGTTTATACTGAGTTCAATATTGTATAACTGTATTAATTCAACTGTGAACCTAAAAATTTACAGCCAAAACTGAAAGAGATATATCTTTGCTCTGGAAATTGTTATTGAATATGTTAATGCTATAAAGAAATGCTTCTTCTAATCATGTGGTTATTAAATAAATAATTTTTAAAAAACTCATGAGGTGGGCCTCCACTGTCTGCATTATTCTCAGTACTATGGTCTTCCATGCTCCTACTAAAATGACTCATTATGCTCTGCTTATAGCTTTCAATGTCTTTTACATCCCAAAGTTTAAAAGTCTCCCATAGTGTTTCAAAAAACAACACGATCACATACTTCACAGCAAATATTGCACTTTTCTGATACCAATCTTCATATTCATTGTTTTCTGCTGCTGTGGTAAAAGGACATGAACAAAAGGAATTTAAAAACCAATGCTGTGTTTTGGTTTGTTTTTGTCTCAAAATTCTATGAGCCTAGAATCCATGCTAGCAGAAAAGACATAAAAACAGACAATGCACAGAGGCAGGAACTGGGATCTGAATGAACACCTTTAAAATGACATACAGGAAAGGACAGAGAAACACACACACACATACACATCACACACACACACACACACACACACACACACAGGGATGGGGGGCAGCTACAAGACCTAAAGGGCCATCTTATTGACCTAGTTCTTGGAACCAGGCACTACTCCCTAAAGTTTTGTTAAGCAATGCCAAACAGCACCACTAACTGGGGACCACCAAGTATTCTGGCACATCACTATGGGTGTGAGAAAATCAGGGTACTGGGAGTGTACAGGAAGCAGTGCTTTCATTTTGGCTGCAGCCTGGTTCAACAGGCTTAAGCCAAATATCTTTACGCAGGAAGGGAAGTAGCACATATCTTTTACACATTAGGCATTGGGTTACAGCTAGAAGGAAACTTACATATTGGTACATATTGATTGGCTATCAATAAGGTTTGAAAACCAGAGAAATTACTATAAATTTAGAAAGAAAACAAATGTTAAAGAAAATCCTTTGTCTAAAAGTTATTGCAGAAGTCTCCATCTGAGACAAACAAAATTCAGGAAGTTTTGTCAGGACAAAAGGCCAATGGGTCTCTCTAGCTGTATTAGTGTTCTAATCACAAACGTGTCAGCTGAACTTTGCTGACAGACACAGATAGAGAAAGCGAGGATTAAAATTCATATTTCTTTAAATATTCCATCAGGTCTTAAATATTCCATCAAGCTCTATGTCACTATGGGGGAAATTTCTTATTCAAGCCACAACAGTAGGCCATTCTGATTCCACATCCTTCACTCTCTACACTGTAGGAGAGGGGACAGAGGAGTTGTATTTCATTACTGGAACATTCTAGAAAGTTAGAAGCAGTTGCATAGTAGGGCTGACTTCTGGCTTCCTTTCTCTTCTGTCTCTAGTGTCCCTGTTGGGTCCTCAGGTACTTCTCCCTCATCTCCCCGAAGACAATCCACAAAACCTACCCCTCCTGTCAGCAGCACTGGGACACAGGCATCTCCACACTGCTGCCTGCTGAAGTTAAAACTTTCCTTTCAGAAACACAGTACCTCAGAGTTTCTTCTTCTCTTAGATCCCTACTTTCTCCCTCTGATCCTGTCTTCTTCCCCTATTCCTCTCATGCCTGTCTTCCTCTTCCAAACCTTCCTCCCACAGATGCTTTATCCCCTCGAACTTTAGACACTGTTCACCATCAACACCACTTCTCTATCACTTCGGGGCCTTCAGAGTCTGGAGAACACAATCTTCAGTCTTGTGATGCCCAGTGATGCCCAAGCCTGCTACAGAATGGGAGGCAAAAAACAGCAATGGGAGATCAAAAGTTCACCTTGGTGGACATAATCCAGGGGTACCATGGGATTGACAAGAAGGAGCCAGAGACAGCGTCCAGTGGTGTAGGTAGAGGGATACAGCTTCACATACCTGACTCAAGACACAGGCCACACTGCAGGGCAGCGTGGCAGAAAGGGCTTCCTGTGGGAAAGACTAGCCCCATATTGAACATTTGTGCTTAACTTCACACATATAGCTATGCCATCTTATGAATTACATATAAAAAGGTATCTTATATTTTTGTAAGTGGAAATAAAATAGTAACAAGTTTTAAAATTTCTTCTAAACTTTTTTTCCAGTTAGGGTCTTTTGAAACAGTGGTATAAAATGATTAAAAATTGTCACGTGAGGTCTATGATAAAGATGAATGACTTGCAGGAAAAGGAATCATTTGAAAGGGTTCCTCTGTCTGTTGTGTGGAGGATAGACAGAAATGAAGGTTGGAAGCAGGAAAGTTAAGCAGTAAGTAGACTGTAACATGGCAGGAGGGAGTCAATGATGTTGTCCCTTGGGAAAGGAAGCAGTGGGGAGAAGTAGACCTATTCTGTGCAGATGCTTCCAAAGTGTTCCCTGGGTATGAAAGTTCCCACTGGTAACTGCAGGGACTGAGAAGTGACCAGCCCCTTTTTTTGATTGCTCCCGTGTCAGTGAGGCCTATCCACACTGTTGTAGAGCAGGACAGCTTGTCAGCTGTGCATTGGCTAGTTAGCTGTTTTCAGCACAGAGGCTTTGAGCTAGATGTCCAGAGCGTGTGGCAGGTGAGGTATTTCAGGACATGATATTAATATACTGTTCATCAGAGTGCACATGTGCAGAGTAAAAAAAGAAGTAACACATCAAGAGAAATAACCCCAACTATGTCATGTGGATCAAGTACTTTTAAAAAAGAAAGCAATAAGCCCAGTGTGGTGGCACATGCCTTTAAACCCAGCACTCAGAAGGCGGAGGCAGGCAGATCTCTGTGAGTTCGAGGCCAGCCTGTCACGCCACCTCCAGTGGAGCCCGCTGAGGAACTCTCCATGGGGTCGAGGCTGAGAAAACTTCAAAGGAAGAATGCTTCCTGGAGAATGGCTGTGTTAAAAAAGCATGCTGTGTCCTTGGCTGTTCTGTTTTAGTTCCTGTCTTTATTGCTGTCTTCATTCCTGTTCTTTCCTCATAGAGGAACTGCTTTGTACCTACTCAGGTCATTAGGCCCACCTAAAGAGAGATTAGATATGGATGATTTCCTGGGAACTCAGTTGCCCAATATTAGACTTCCTCCAAATGCTCCTCTCTTGTTTCAAACAATAAGTAAAGTAGCTAAGAATAAGCAACCTTGGAAAATTCTAGATAAGTTACAGCAAGAAGAATTATTTGTAAATAATCCCCCTGCTGCAGTCCCTAGAGTTGACTCAAGGAGATTAAAGGGATACTGAAAGATTGCTGCCTATAGTTAAGACAGACTTTGAAATTGCCTACGAGTTAGGGAGAGGTAGTCTATGGCATCCCCTTAAGGGAAAGGAGAGCATATTTAGAATCCCCGAGCCCACTGATGAACCACTTCCTCATACAAGAGTTTATGAAAGAAATAATAGATAGGTAAATATTCAAGGAAGGAAAGTTTTATGGTATTCATTATAGTTTATGGATAGGTTAGCTAGATCTAGATCACCTTGGTGCCTTTACTACAAGTCAGCAGCAAAGTATACTTGAATAATTACAGGCAGTATAAGAAACATGGATAGAAAGAATAGGAAAATAAGGATTAGAGAAACAAGCCTTTGAAGTTATATGGAGTTATTATAACTTCATTGACCTAGTCATTGGCCTCGGCCACCAAAACCTCAGAAGTAAAATAAAATTTAAAAAACAAAACCATAAAATTACCAACAATGAAATTTATAAGTAGCTGATGTTGCCAAACCACTAGGAAAAAGGATAAATAGTCTAAGCATCTGATTAATTAGATAAGAACACTGTACACTGTACTGTATTGCTTTGATTTTGAATTGTATTTCCAAGAAAATTATTAACCATGAAATCAACCTGATGCTTGCACAATCTTGTTCTGTAACTTGTATAAAATCTGATGCTCCACTTTAGAAAATTACATTCAGATCATGAACCATCTCTTGTGTTGTGTCTGTTTGTCACTCGCCGAATCCTTGCCCACTCTCCGATTCCCTGTTCCCGTAGGACTGAGTATTCCGGTCTGGGCTGGTCCGTCGCACCAGCCTACTCTACATAGCAAGTTCCAGGCTAGCTGGGGCTGCAAGGAGACCCTCCCTCAAAAAGAAAAAGAAAGAAAGAAGGGAGGGAGGGAAAGAAAGAAAGAAAGGAAAGAGAGAAAGAAAGAGCCTTAAACAAATAGGCAGTAAACTTGAATGATGAAATGTTATAGGACATATCTAAGAGTTCATCATCATACAATATGCTGAACATGTGTGGGAACTAGAGAAAAAAAATCACAGCAGACAGACAAACAGAACTGGTGATGAGTTGGAAGAAATGAGTACTCCTGAAGATGGAATGGAAGTTATTACCCATCACAGGAAATTGGCTGGTGAGTACACATGCTATTCCCCAACAATGGCACAGGAATAGACAAATTAGTGTCCGCATGTACAGTACAAACATTCACAAATACAATTATACTGCTCCAGAGTTAAAAACCCCATAAGTGCAGGTGAGAAGAACAATCACAAAGCAATGAATGATTCAGTATAGAATGACTATAGTTTCACATTGATAACTCCAATTATACACTGGCACATGATTTTTATGTCAATATTTTCAATTTATTTGCATTTTCATCTAAAGTGTAAGGAAAGGTTCCATTAATCTAAAATACATTTACAACCAGGTGGAGTAACATAACAACTGAAAACTCATACCATTGTGATAAAAGTACTTGGCAGCTGGAATAGTTTGTGCAGTACTGGAAGCTTGAAGAAGACAGTGAATGCCTGCTTTTCATGATACTTAGCTCAGCACCTTTCATCATGACCTCTTCAAAATGACTGTGTCATACACAAATAACACACACATTTGATTTGTATTTCATCCATTGCCACTCTCCCAATTTATAATGGTTGAGTTTCAAAATTTGAACACCAGGGCTCATACAGATGGCTCAGCCTTAAGCAAGTGCTGCTCTTGCAGAGGACCAGAGTTTGTTCATAAACAACTGTAATGGTTGGCTAAGAGTGCCCTGGGATTCCAGGCCCAGGGAATCCACTACCCTACTTTGACCTCTGTGGACACTTGAACACATATGTAAATGAAAATCTATTAAGAAATAAAAATATGAATATAGTAATATCACCTTCCATGCAGAATCAATGGTTTCCGGTGACTATGTGATCATGTGAACACTTCCACAGGAATCATTTCTTCACCCTGTATCTTCTATATGCTGTCCATTTGTAGCATGCTGTTGCTTTTTGTTTCTTTTCTTTTCTTTCCTTTTGTTTTTGGTCTTTTTGAGACAAGGTCTTCCTGTAGCCCCAGCTGACCTAGAACTCACTATATAGACTAGGCTGGCCTTTGAACTCACAGAGATCTGTCTCCCTCTGCCTCCCAAGTGCTGGGATTAAAGGCATGTGCTACTATGCCCGATCTAGAATGCTGTTTTTAAGCACATATAATTGTCTGTTCCTAGAAATTTCTTCCATACCTAATGCAATATGAACAGAATCTTCTAAGACATAGGACTAGGTATGTCACTGAGGGTAATACACTTACTTTTGTTCTGGTATGAAACCATCCTTACTCCATGAAATATGATGATTTCCATCCTGTTCCATAGGCAGGCATATTTACTAAAGTTTTCCTATAGTCTCTACTTTAACAGGGTCCCTTAATTATCTGAGATCTCCAGTGTCAGTGGACAGTGTTTTATGTTAGTAAACTTTCTTGATTTTAAAGATTCTGACAGTGTTATTCAACTGCATATGGGCTAAGATTCACTGAGATTTGTATCACCATTCAAAGCTTTTCTACATTTTAAATTCATAGGATTCATCACACACATGAATTGCTTACATTCAGAATACTTTCTGTGGAAAGCTTTCATTCATTCTTTAGAGACATGGTATCTCTTACAAATATGTGCTTTCTGATGAGAAATGTCTCACATGTGGTATCAAGATTTCATACATTCTTTGCTATGTTCGATCTCATGTACTCTCTGATGTCAAGTGAGTATTCTTACTGTAAGCTTTCTTGCCTTCTTCACATTCTTATGGTGTCTCATCTGATTTCTTCCATATAGAATGGGATATGTTATAAAGGTAAGCTTTTCTGTATTGTGTATATTTACTGGACTTATACAGAAAACTGATTTATAGATTAATGTGGTTTTTTTCATTTTTTATATTCACAACTTCTCACATAATGTTTCTGATGTTGACTGAGGTGTGAGTGATAGCAAAAGTATCATTATACTTCTTGATATTAGTACATAATGTGTCATGTATATGATATCCCATATATCTTGTGAGTCATGACATGGGGGAAAAAAAGCAAACTTTCCTTGCAGTCTCATTAATAGGGTTTCTTGAGTTCTGAGATGTGGAGTTAAGTGTACCTTGCAGAAGAAATTTTCTGCACTCTTTGCATTCATATGGCTACTCACCTTTATAAGTTCTATGAAGTGCACTGAGACCTTGATTTGTGGTAGAGAGTTTCACACATTTCATAGAGCTTCTCAACTGTATGAGTTTTACAATGAACACTGAGACCAGAGGAATAGGAGAGAGTTTTATTACATTCTTTATATTCAAAGGGCCTCTCCCCATGTGAGTTCTATGATGCACACTGAGAAGTGACTTGGAGGATAATGCTTTCTTGCACCCTTCACAGTCATAGCGCTTCTCACCTGTATGAGTTCTACTATGTGTACTGAGGATTGACTTAGAGGAGAAAGCTTTCTTGCATTCTGGACATTCATATGGCTTCTCACCTGTGTGAGTCCTATGATGCTTACTAAGAAGTAACTTGGAGGCAAATGCTTTCCTGCACTCTTCACATTCAAAGGGCTTCTCACCAGTATGAGTTCTACAATGTATAATAAGAAATGACTTGAAGGCAAAAGCTTTCTTGCAAACTTCACATTCATAAGGCTTCTCTCCCATATGGGTTTTGTGATGTGCATTAAGACCTGATTTGTGGTAGAATGTTTTAGCACATTCTTTACATTCATAGGGCCTCTCAACACTATGAGTTTTATGATGTTGACTGAGAGCAGTGGAGTAAGAGAAAGTTTTATTACATTCTTTACATTCATAGGGCTTCTCCTTTCTATGAGTTCTATGATGTGTATTCAGAGCAGACTTGGAGGAAAAAGCTTTCTTGCATTCTTGACATTCATAAGGCTTTTCACCAGTATGAGTTCTATGATGGCAGACTAAGCGTGAGTTGGAAAAGAAAGCTTTGCCACATTCTTCACATTCATAGGGCTTCTCACCTTCATGAGTTCTCTGATGGTCAGTGAGGGCTGACTTGCAGAAGAGAGAATGACCACATTCTATACATTCATAAGGCTTCTCATCTGTATGAGTTCTCTGATGGTCAATGAGGGCTGACTTGCAGGAGAAAGCATTACCACATTGTTTACATTCATAAGGCTTCTCACCTGTATGAGTTCTCTGATGGCTACTGAGGCCTGACTTGCGGCAGAAAGCTTTACCACATCCTTTACATTCATAAGGCTTCTCACCTGTATGTGTTCTCTGATGTTCAATGAGTTTCGACCTGTGGTAGAAAGAGTGACCACAGTCTTCACATCCATGGGGCTTCTCACAGGTATGATTAATATGATGGAGGGTAAACCATGACTTGTAGAAGAAAGCTTTGCCACATTCTGTACACACAAAGGACTTCTCATCTGTATGAGTTCCCTGATGTTTAGTTAAGTCTGATTTGCGTAAAAAATATTTACCACATTTTTTACATTCATAGGGCTCCTCGCTTGTATGAAGGTTCTGATGTGCAGTGACACTGGACTTAGAACAGAAAGCTTTCTGATATTTATTATGTTCAGAAGGTTTCACACTTGAGTGATATGTGTGCATCTTGGTGTGTTGTGACATGAGGTTAATCATTTTCACACATGGTTGACTTTCAAAGGACTTTGCACTTTTGTGAAATTCTGGTCGAATCTTCATTTCTGTCTTGAGGCAAAAGAATGTGTTAAGGTTGTTGTACCAATAGTGCTTTTTTCTCAGCATGTGCTTAATGATGTTCTGTGAGATAAAATATCTTAATTGTTAATTTCTTTTTTGAAAAAGGATCTCAATGAGAGAGAAAGAAAGAAAGAAAGAAAGAAAGAAAGAAAGAAAGAAAGAAAGAAAGAAAGAAAGAAAAAAAAAAGAAAAAGGGCCTCACTATTTAGCTCTGGCTAGTGGATAGCCAGGTACTTGCTATGGAGACAATGCTGGCCTTGAACTCTCACAGATCCACTTCTCCTCTGCCGACCAAGTGCTGGGATTAAGGGTGTGTTTCATTATGATCAGCAAGGTAAAATATCTTAAGAGTTTTCATAAAAACTTGTATTTATAATATTTTCCCCCAGGGGGCACTGAATCAGTGATTGACATTGGTCTTTTAAAAATTTTATTTATTATTTTTATTTTATGTGTGTGAATGTATTGCCTGCATGTACATCTGTGTTGTACAATGCCCTTGGAGGTCACAAGAGGGCACCTGATTCCCTGGAAATGGAGTTATGAATGATTGTTAGCCTCCATGTGGGTGCTGGGAATTGAGCCCAGGTTCTCTGCAAAAGCAGCCAGTGCTCTTAACCACTGAGCCACCTCTCCAGCCTCCAGGATTAGTCTTTTTTGCAGATCTTTAGCCAATATACATTACATGCCATGGTTGCTTACTTACTTCAGACATATCCTGCAAAGTAAGTGTTAAACAAACGATTTCCAATATTTACTGAATTTACTAGAGCTTTTATAAGTACATTTTTTCATAATTAAATAGCATTGTCTTTTTGTAGATGAATATCCTTCTTAAAATATACTGAACAGAAATCATTGAAGTTCGAATCTTGTTTGGGATACTAAAATGCTCAGGATGACAGAGGTGTTTCTGCATTGCATCAACATTATCAGGTTCTCCACAGGTCTGTATCTTATCAGGCTCACAATGGAGAAATAGTACAACCTACCATGGGTTAACAATCTAGGAAACAATCTAGAAGAGTTTCCAATCTTCACATTTATATTCAAAACACAGTTTGGGCTGGCATTGTTTTACCTACTTCAGCCATAATCTCACTTGATGGGTTACTCTCGGTGTTTCCCACTTGCCACACATGTCTTTCTGGATTTTCCAGGCAACTCTTAGTAATAGGGGCACCTGAAATGATATTAAATGTCATTAACCACAAGTCAAATATTGTTCATTAAACTCAAACATAGACCATTAACGAATATAAAAAATCATAGTAAAGGACAGGGCAGTGCTCAGTAATGTCTCCTTGTTGCTTTCTCTTAGTCTTGAAATAAATGGAACTCAGTCATTTATGTACCGATCAGCTATTGCTTTCTGAAAGTTAATTTTATGTTTTTCTTTATTGTTGTTTTTATTGAGCTTTTAAAATTTCATACATTTCCAGAGTCCCATCCCCCATCCATGCCTCCCCTTATCCACCCACCAAACCCTATACACTCTGCTACACATGCTGAGTCCTATTCATTCAAGTGTTTATATCCAAATGTCCTTCGATGTAAATGCATCCACTGGAGTCTAGTCAGCCCATCCAGTGGTCATATGTAAGTCATACTCTCCCTCACCCAGCAGCAATCAGTCTCAAATAGTTCTCAATCTAGTGCTGGTCCACCACCTATTTTTCACCTACCAGTGGGCCCTTGTTTCATTGACTTGACATATGTCCCACACACGATACCACTATTGCCACAAGGCTCACATGAGTAAGCCTCCAGTGGCCTGGAAGCCTCTACCTCCCTGTCACCATGAACAAGCCCTGCCAGCTTCTCAGGCACTAAGGCCAACAATCAGTAATTGTGACCTTATTAAGTCACAAGGTTTCTGTAGAGCAAAAGAAAAAATGAAGGAAAGAGGAAACCCACTGAATGGGAGAAAATCTCCACCAGTTACACATCTGATAGAGGATTAATATCCAAAATATACAAAGAATTCAAAAAGTAAGAAATAAGAAAATAAATGACTCTATTTAAAAAAAATGGGCAATAGCCCTAAACAGAGAGTTCTCAAACGAAGAAATAAAAAGGGCTAAGAAGCACTTTAAAAAGTGCTCAACACCCTTAGTTATTAGAGAAATGTGGATAAGAAATATTCTAAGATTCCATCTTACTCCAGTCAGATAGGCAAAGATCAAGAGAAGGAAAGATTAAATGCTGGAGAGGATGTAGAGAAAGAGGAACACTCATTCACTGCTGGTGGGAATGCAAAGTCATGCAACCACTATGGAAAGCAGTGTGGAGAACCTTCAAAAACAAAAAATGAACCTCTCATATGATCCAGTGATATCACTCCTTTGAGATATACTAAAAGGACTCATCCTACTGAGATACTTATACAACCATGTTTGTTGATGCTCTCTTCACAATAGCTAAGAAATGAAAACAACCTAAATGTCCCTCAGCAGATGAATGGTTAATGAAAAATGTGGTACATATACTCAATGGAGTTCTACTCAACAGTAAGGAAAGATGAAATTATGAAATTTACAGGTAAATGGATGGAGCTACAGTGTTATACTAAGTGAAGTAACACAAATGCAGAAAAGCAAGTGATATATGTTCTTCCTCACTTGTGGATTGTAGCACCAATCCTTTGTATGTTACTCTACAAATTTAGATGTAACACCGGGAGCCAGGTAAAGGGAAAGGAGACATGGCCATAAAAGAAACAACCTGAAAGGGGGACAGTAGGGAACAGATGTTACCTGAGGGAGTTGGAAAAACTGGGAGAATAGGCAGGGAGGAGAGGAGGGAGGAACATATACGTGACCATGAGGTGAGAGAGGGAGAGAAGTTGGAGAGGAGAGATGGTGGGGGTCTTAAGTTTATTTACCTAGCCCTGAAAAAACAGCAGAAGAATCCTTAATTGGTTGTTCTATGCAAGTATCTTTCCTTCATATTAGAAGACAGATTTTTCAAATATGCCCTTTAATCCATCTTATGATTTATACATGTCCTTGATCTCCAGGACCTATACATGTTTTATAAGACAGTACACTTTTTATTAGAAATAAAAGGCTAAGATTTTCTTTCTTTTTTTTTTTTTTTGTTGACCTAGAGTTATTTATTTGTTCATTTAGTTAGTTAGTTAGTTAGTTTCTTTGTTTTTCAGTCAGGGGTTCCTTATATAGTACAATCTGGCCTTAAACTCAACATCATTCCTGACCCAGACTCTTGAATGCTGGGATTACAGGTGTATAATCACCACACTTGGCTTCCCACAAATATCTTGATGCAGACATTCAACGATGTATGTATATATGCTCATCATAATAGTATATGTAATACAAGAAACTGTTTCTCAATGGAGTACTGTTTGAGTAAACCATAAAATGTCTATACTATGGGATACTAGCTGTTATTATGATGTACTTTATGCACCAATAAATAAAGAAGATAGACATTGAAAGAATCTAGTTATAAAACAGGCCATAGACTATTACCACATTTTGTATTTATGAGAACATAAAATTTTGTGCATAGAAAATATGTACAAAAGATGCAGAGGAAATCACTGACAATTATCTCTGAAAATGAGAACTGTATACAATTTTTTTAATTATTTATTTAAAAACCACATAATTATAAGAAGCCTTTTATTACAACAGCATTGACAACAGCAAATTTTCAGGTTAGTTTTACTTTATATTAGTTGTACAAGATAATGTGTGGGGACCTAAAGGCCCCCACCTTGCAGAAGTCCGAGAGGAAGTTACTGGGGCATGGCCTGACTTGCTTTGAAAGTCTGAAGGATACTTCCCCACTGCTGAGGAGTGCATGATCAGCGTGTGACCATCTTAAGATACACCCTCATGGGGGAGGGGAGATTTCCAGGTGCCTTTATAAGCTCTATAACACCTGCAATAAATGAGTCCCTCCTTGACTGGGCTCCCCATTGCATCTGATTGTCCCCAGTACTGGGGGCAGTGTGGGCTGGCAAACGGTGCGCTTACTCATCCCCAATCATCATTGCACCTGGGTTGCTGGTACAAACTCCCTGGCAACTGGTGCCCAGCGTGGTGCTTGAAGGAAGGTGAAAAGAAGAAAAGAAAGAAAGAAAAATAATGGATTGGGGCCAATTGAGAAGTTCAGGGTAAGCGAGACCTGAAAGATGGGTAATGCGACTATTAAGCTTGAGGACCCAGTGCTTAAAGCTCTGAGAGAAATGCTTAAAAGCAGGGGATTGGATCTGTCAGATCTGGTAGCTCAAAAGGTTTGGGCAGAGGCAATTCATTTGGCTCCCTGGCTACTTGGGGATAATGTTTTTACTGGGGATACATGGGAATCATGGAAAGAGTTTGAGGAAGAACACGGAAATGCAACAGAAGTGAAACCAAAAGCGGCCAGAGTAACAAGTGGCACCTCAGGCGTGCCCTGGCCAGCTTCAGGGCCTCCCGGGACCCATGAAGACAGGACCCATGGATGCCTTTTTCAGAAGGGTGGGGTGGAATGGAGCACAAGGGGTCAGCGGCAAAAGCTGCCCACCCCACCCACCTTGAACTAACGCATGCTCGAGTCAGTGGCCCGTGAGAAAGCCGGGTGGGGGACCGCCCCCCATTGGTGATCAGCAGCGGCCACAGGGAGCATTTAAAAAAAAAAAAAAAAAACACTGTTGGTTGTGTATTGCGACTGGCTATGGGATAGCTGGGGCTGGGAAGGCCCGGTTCAGGGAAGGTGGCAGGGGATCCACCCTGCCCCCAAGTGTTACAGCCCCACTGGCAGCAACACTCACTGAATCCCGGGGCCAAGGGAGTCCTTAGTAAAAGCCTACAATGTTTTCACTGACTGGAGCAGATGTGGAGAAACCAAAAAGTAGCTCAATTCAAGGAACTCATGGCCATTGCATTCTGAAATATTCAGACTCGTATGCTCCTTTCAGAGAGAGAAGCCCTTATTTTCTTACAGCATCTTAGGGAGCACCAAGGATTGCCTTGGCTTTTATACCAAGGCAATGCAGAGGCAGACAAGATGGCTTACTGTGTACAGGTACCATCTCTGCAACAGCCAGGGGTAAACCCCAGGGGACTCAAGCCTAATTCCTTGTGGCAGACGGATGTCACACACTATGCTCCTTTTGGAAAGCTTAAGTATATTTTTGTGTCCATTGAAACATTCTCACATTCATTTTGGGCTCCTGCTCATACAGGAGAGAAGTCTAAACATGCTCAGTCTCATTTTCTCCAGTGCTTT